TTGAACCCAGCAATGATGATAATTTACGAAAATGGCTGAACATCATCAATTATAATCAATCTGCACGAATGATGAGTATCTTGACAGCTAGACCAGGCTTCTCTCACTGCACAACCTGTCCTCTTACAAAAAACGTCGCTTTTGGCTGTTTGCCCGTATGGCCGAATATGGACGTAATTTGAAAATGAAAAAAAAATGAAAATATATTTGGGAATTTTTTTCAACAACAGTAAGTTAAGGGTCCTCTGATAGGTTTGGTGGGCAGGAAATTCTCATAAAGTTTCAAAACGTTATGAAAAACGTTAATGGAAAGTTGCCTTTTCTAAGCTTGCCGAGTAGGCCGGAAGACTAACAGAAAACGGAACAGTACGTCACTTTTCATAAAGGAGGTTATATGTGATTACAAAGACACGCAAATGAGAAATACAGTGAAAGAAATAACGGAGGGAACAATACTCCAGGAGATGAATACCATCACAATCCATAGAGTTGGCACACATGTCCTTAGCGAGAGGAAGTCCGGCGCTGTTGATTGTTGATCATTGATTGTTACCGTCAGCGGCAGCTAGTTTATTGTGGGCCCCGTACTCATCCTGTGAGTGGTAGTTTATTGTGGGCCTCGTACTCATCCTGTGAGTGGTAGTTTGTTGTGGACCCCATACTCATCCTGTGAGTGGTAGTTTGTTGTGGACCCCATACTCATCCTGTGAGTGGTAGTTTGTTGTGGACCCCATACTCATCCTGTGAGTGGTAGTTTATTGTGGATCCCATACTCATCCTGTGAGTGGTAGCGGAAAAGGATTACGAAGGGCACAAAAGGTCTTAAACAAACCTCAGCAGATATTATTCATTAGCTTTTACAGTTGATCTGCTCAGCTAATGATTATAATGATAAATAATGGCAAACTTCTTGCACAATGCAATGTACCACAATATTATACAATGGAGGCAGGCCATTGTCTTACTGCCTAAGGTAGGTTTCAATAAGTGATATTACAGGGAAATTGAAGATTTGTTGTTATGAAATGAGTACACAGCTTGTACTCTCCTCACATGTACTGTGCATGAGACGGCCGTGCCCCGGGAGGAAGTCCGGAGGCACAGGACAGGACGTGATGGACTTAAGTCATCCGGCTGGGTTACCCCCTAAGGCTCGGAAATAAAGTCCGTTCTCACGAGGTGACAAGCGTTTTGTTAGAATGATTTTAACCCTACAAACCTAGACTAACTCTTATTAATCTATTGAGGTCTATGTAGTTTGGGGATTAATTGGTATATTAATGTAGAGCCCCTAACACGTGTAGCATTTCTGGTAATAATTTAAACAAAAAATCATGGGTAGTAGAGTTGACAAGTCTCTCACCCATATCTACTGTACACAATCAGCGAGTTAGGAAAATGGGTGTATATGTTTGGGTGGAACAAGTAACAGTGATAAATTCCCAGGACTGCAATGCTCTCGTATCTCTTTTTTAACTCAACAGCATGGTAAATGTGATATTACACATAATGATTATGAGACGGATGCAGCACTCGCTGCAGTTTCCGGCTTCGTGGACCATCCGTCACCCGTTGGCCTGATACACATGACCCTGGAGAGAATAGTGATCAGCAAGCCTAGTATTGGAACCATGTGGCGAGCTCTGATTGTTTTGTATATTATTAACAGGCTTAGATACACAGACAAATGTACTGCTACCCCTGTTGTATATGATGGACTACAGAGTATAGATCAGGAGCCAGCTGTGACATCATCTAATATCATCATCTCACACGATGGTTAGATAGACGTGACATCAGGAAACATAAGATGCCAGTCTGGTCTACTAGGCTACACTAACAAACGCTGAGCAGGACACCAGATTATCTTTCCATGTTCGTGAGTGTATGGATTAGTTACAGAGCTCAAGCTCATTTGGTCTATGACACTTACAAATATAATGTTGGAGAATGTGTCCCGGCTCTTGTTCGTGTACGGTAGTTGACAGCTGGAGTGCTCACTATTAGCGACTTGGAATATTCGTTTCGTGCCGGGACAGCTGGTATCTCCAGGTCCCCTGAAGGTCGAACTGCTGACCCTCTTTAGGATGCAACTTTACAGACAGTTGACTAATTCCCGGGTACTTATTTACTGCTAGATGAACAGAGGCATTAGGTAAAAGGAAACGTCCCCAACGTCTGAGATAAGATGTTCAAGAACTTTTGCATAGAATTAAAGAGTATATGTCATCTCATATCAATGTTTTTTTATTTGTTGACCAAACCACTCACTAGAAAGTGAAGGGACGACGACGTTTCGGTCCGTCCTGGGCCATTTTAAAGTCGATTGTGGTCGATTATCACAATCGACTTGAGAATGGTCCAGGACGGACCAAAACGTCGTCTTCTCTTCATTTTCTAGTGTGTGGTCTGGTCAACATTTTTCAGTCACGTTATTGTGACTCCTCATCTGCAATTTTTTTTTTAATTTGAAAATGCTTACTAACAGGGAAGTTACGTTGTATGAACTTACTAAAATGAGCATGGCTTGATACCAGATTATCTTATCAGAATAAAGTCCTTTGTTGTTTCAAGGCTGCAGAAGTGAGCCAGATGTAAGATAACTCCTCAGTAGGGAATTTTAAGTCTCATCTTATTTGCTGTGCTAATAATTTTTTTTACTAAAATCAATCTCAACATGTTTCAAAATCGTTATAATGAGCAGTGTTAATAACGTTCTTGTGTACATAAAAACATGAAAACCCACCACAGAATGCGAACTATCTCGCATGGCATGCACACCGTATGTGAAAAACTGTCTTCTAATCACTAACAAAATAAGATGTTCAACAAGCGAACTGTCGACTACCAAAAGATTTACAACATACGAACTGACTAAGTTCCTCTTCCAAATACTGTACACTGGTACCTAAGATCCTCTTGCTCTGAGATGGAAAAACTTCACCAACCATATAAAGCCATAGTCAAGGTTCTCATAACTGTTACTGATTACAGGCCTCAGTGTAGAGCAAATGTTAGACTAGCCAAAATGATGACTTTAGCGTATATAAGATCCCTTATATATTACCACACAAACTCTGATCGTCTGTTGACCAGACCACACACTAGAAGGTGAAGGGACGACGACGTTTCGGTCCGTCCTGGACCATTCTCAAGTCGATTAACATACTTCAGCCACGTTATTGTGACTCATCGCCTGCAACTGGTCATGTAGCATAGCAAAAATATTGATAAATTCCAAGCACAAAAATAGCTTGCAGAATTATATTCTGTTGTCCAATACCTATTAAATTCCTTAATGTACGAAAAGAGCTTAATAGCATTCAATATGCAGCCCGTAACAGCTGACTTACTCCTAGGTATTATTTTGTTGTTAGGTAAACAGAGGTATCAGGCGAAAGAAACTTTGGCCATTTGCTTGTCTCGGCCGGGAATTGAACAAGGGTTCATGGACTGTGAATCCCGAACGCTGTGTGTGTGTGTGTGTGTGTGTGTGTGTGCGTGCGTGCGTGCGTGCGTGCGTGCGTGTGTGTGTGTGTGTGTGTGTGTGTGTGTGTGTGTGTGTGTCTGTGTCTGTGTCTGTGTCTGTGTCTGTGTGTGTGTGTGTGTGTGTGTGTGTGTGTGTGTGTGTGTGTGTGTGTGTGTGTGTGTGTACTCACCTAGTTGTACTCACCTAGTTGTGTTTGCGGGGGTTGAGCTCTGGCTCTTTGGTCCCGCCTCTCAACCGTCAATCAACAGGTGTACAGATTCCTGAGCCTATCGGGCTCTGTCATATCTACACTTGAAACTGTGTATGGAGTGAGCCTCCACCACATCACCCCCTAATGCATTCCATTTGTCAACCACTCTGACACTAAAAAAGTTCTTTCTAATATCTCTGTGGCTCATTTGGGCACTCAGTTTCCACCTGTGTCCCCTTGTGCGTGTTCCCCTTGTGTTAAATAGACTGTCTTTATCTACCCTATCAATCCCCTTCAGAATCTTGAATGTGGTGATCATGTGTCCCCTAACTCTTCTGTCTTCCAGCGAAGTGAGGTTTAATTCCCGTAGTCTCTCCTCGTAGCTCATACCTCTCAGCTCGGGTACTAGTCTGGTGGCAAACCTTTGAACCTTTTCCAGTTTAGTCTTATCCTTGACTAGATATGGACTCCATGCTGGGGCTGCATACTCCAGGATTGGCCTGACATATGTGGTATACAAAGTTCTGAATGATTCTTTACACAAGTTTCTGAATGCCGTTCGTATGTTGGCCAGCCTGGCATATGCCGCTGATGTTATCCGCTTGATATGTGCTGCAGGAGACAGGTCTGGCGTGATATCAACCCCCAAGTCTTTTTCCTTCTCTGACTCCTGAAGAATTTCCTGTGTGTGTGTGTGTGTGTGTGTGTGTGTGTGTGTGTGGTGCTCATGTGTGCGTGCAGCCATCACAAGTGCGTACTGGAAGAGAATGAATCACATCCGCTCCCCGATAAAAAAACATCACAAATCTCAAGTTGCACTGAATATCTTGGTGCCTTACTCCGTCCCTCTCTTACTCTATGTAGCCATATCTTGACTGATACCGTGCCTTGTTTCTCTACAACCTCTCTCCTAGTTAAACAAATTCGGAACACAAATCACCAGGAAACAATTATGCTCTGAAACCTCTACCATCATGACTCAGGACGTGACGTCACACACACCTCATGCCCTCTTGGATAAAACACAAAATTCTCTTATTTGTGTTAGGTTTTGTTAGATAGGCTAGGCTTGGCTAGGTTCTGTTAGATAGGCTAGGCTGGGCAAGGTTCTGTTAGATAGGATAGGCTGTGCAAGGTTCTGTTAGATAGGCTAGGCTGGGCTAGGTTCTGTTAGATAGGATAGGCTGGGTTAGTGTTATGTTGGGTTAGCTAGTGAGCAATGTAATAATCCTTGACGAGTAGCCTCTTGCTCACATCCTGGTCTTCGCCTCAAGACGTTTCTGTCCAGGGTTTAGGAGATAACGAATTAAATTCAACACGGTTTGTGTTGCTTACGAGAACATTTATTTATTCTTCGGAGTTCATATAAGCAGCAAGGTAAATATTATATACAATTCCTATGTGTTATAAATAAGCATTTACCTTGGAAATGACACTTGAATGAAGAGTATTATGAAGGTATACTAAACATAAGTATATATATAGCCCTATATGAATACAAATATTATAAAACACACGTTAGGGGTTATTAAGATAACATAATATAAACAGTTGTGAACATTAATGTATTCAACCCTGGCGTTATGCATAGAGATTTGGCACACGTGCATTGCATAAGGTCTTCCATACCTTATGAAAGACTGGCGTACCTGTTATACCTTATAATAAGCACTTAACTAATAATTAAGTTAATATCAAGGTCAGGTAATTATATGAGGAGAACGTGCTAAACCATTATGACTATATAGTAGGTGTATATCAATTAACTTTTAATTGTATGAGTCTAATTTAGTACGCTCTGTCCTCACGTCTAATTGTTCTGTTTCTGCATATAATTGAGCATAAGAAACACCTTTATCTTTGTCATTGTGAATATCCTTGGTATGACAGAGTAATTTCTCCCTTCATTCCTGTTGCTGCCTAACTGATGTTGTATGAGGCTATCATGCTTTTGCTGTTGCAGTATTATTTGTTACTTCATAACTATTAGTGTTAGTCTTAACATATATTAACACAATAATTATGCTCCTGAAACTAAACTATTCCAATACACCATATATACATTAAACAATATATATATATATATATATATATATATATATATATATATATATATATATATATATATATATATATATATATATATATATATATATATTTTCGTATTATGTTACGTACAAGGAACTTCCTGGTAAATTCAACATCATAATGCTCTACAAAACCTAATTCATAATGTTTCTAAACTATGTACTTTTTTTATTGAATACATTATTATTATTGCAGATGATGATAGAAATATCTATGATAAGAATGAACTTGGGCTTAGTTATATCGATATTAACACTGAAATTTAGGCTATAATGTACAATCCTGTTTAGCTGGAGACGTTTACCTAGTTTAAGGGTTACTGTTCTCCCCCTACTGCTTCAAACCTACCCTCTGATACGGGCCCCACTTAGTCTTCCTTTATCTTGAGTATATTGTCTTACAAGTTGTTTGTAAGCTTCGTGTTGGGCTTCGTAGCTGTAATATGTCTGTTGTGCTGCTTGGTCAAGCAGCCTGCGATGTTCAGGCTTCACATCAAAGACCTGTTGCTTAGTCTGACTGTGGAGGATGTTTCGTTGGAACTGACTTTGAGGAGCGTTCACTATAGATTGTCTGGTGGAAACATGCTGTGCAGACTGACTTAAGGGAGTCTGCGTGGATAGTCTAGAATGGATATTCTGCATGTGTGGCCCGGAATACTCATTCTGCACGTATGGTCTGGAGGGCACATTCTGTATGGTTGGTCTGTATGGAATATTCTGCACAGGTGGTCTGAAGATCACATTCTGTATAGGTGGTCTGCTGGAAATACTTTGTGCAGATTGACTTAAACGAATATTCTGCACGGGTGGACTGCTGAGAACATTTTGCGCAGGTTGCCTCGTAAGCACAGTCTGCATAGTGGGCCTGCACGCAACACTGTGAGGTGGCTGACCACGTTGAACACTGTGAGGAGGCTGACCAGGTTGAACACTGTGAGGAGGCTGACCAGGTTGAACACTGTGAGGAGGCTGACTATGTTGAACACTGTGAGGCGACTGACCAGGTTGAACACTGTGAGGAGGCTGACCATGTTGAACATTGTGAAGTGGCTGACCGGGTTGAACAATGTGAGGTGGCTGACCGTGTTGAACACTATGAGGTGGCTGATCATGTTGAACACTGTGAGGTGGCTGACTAGGCTGAACTCTGTGAGGTGGTTGACCATGTTGAACACTGTGAGGTGGCTGACCCTGTTGAACACTGTGCTGACCAGGCTGAAATCTGTGAGGTGGCTGACCATATTGAACACTGTGAATTGGCTGACCATGTTGAACACTGTGAGGTGGCTGACCACGTTGAACACTGTGAGGAGGCTGACCATGTTGAACACTGTGAGGAGGCTGACCATGTTGAACACTGTGAGATGGCTGACCATGTTGAACACTGTGAATTGGCTGACCATGTTGAACACTGTGAGGAGGCTGACCATGTTGAACACTGTGAGGTGGCTGACCGTGTTGAACACTGTGAGGTGGCTGACCATGTTGAACACTATGAGGTGGCTGACCATGTTGAACACTGTGAGGTGGCTGACCGTGTTGAACACTGTGCTGACCAGGCTGACCATGTTGAACACTGTGAGGTGGCTGACCATGTTGAACACTATGAGGTGGCTGACCACGTTGAACACTGTGAGGTGGCTGACCCTGTTGAACACTGTGAGGTGGCTGACCGTGTTGAACACTGTGAGGTGGCTGACCCTGTTGAACACTGTGAGGTGGCTGACCGTGTTGAACACTGTGAGGTGGCTGACCCTGTTGAACACTGTGAGGTGGCTGACCGTGTTGAACACTGTGAGGTGGCTGACCAGGTTGAACACTGTGAGGTGGCTGACCGTGTTGAACACTGTGAAGTGGCTGACCACGTTGAACACTGTGCTGACCAGGCTGACCATGTTGAACACTGTGAGGTAGCTGACCGTGTTGAACACTGTGAGGTGGCTGACCAGGTTGAACACTGTGAGGTGGCTGACCACGTTGAACACTGTAAGGTAGCTGACCCTGTTGAACACTGTGAAGTGGCTGACCCTGTTGAACACTGTGAGGTGGCTGACCGTGTTGAACACTGTGAGGTGGCTGACCACGTTGAACACTGTGAGGTGGCTGACCAGGTTGAACACTGTGAGGTGGCTGACCACGTTGAACACTGTAAGGTAGCTGACCCTGTTGAACACTGTGAGGTGGCTGACCCTGTTGAACACTGTGAGGTGGCTGACCACGTTGAACACTGTGAGGTGGCTGACCAGGTTGAACACTGTGAGGTGGCTGACCACGTTGAACACTGTAAGGTAGCTGACCCTGTTGAACACTGTGAGGTGGCTGACCCTGTTGAACACTGTGAGGTGGCTGACCGTGTTGAACACTGTGAAGTGGCTGACCACGTTGAACACTGTAAGGTAGCTGACCCTGTTGAACACTGTGAGGAGGCTGACCCTGTTGAACACTGTGAGGTGGCTGACCACGTTGAACACTGTAAGGTAGCTGACCCTGTTGAACACTGTGAGGAGGTTGACCATGTTGAACGCCCTGAACAGGACGTGGGCCGGGAACCATTCCGTTGACGTTAACGCCTTGCTGAGCTGCCGCACTAGGCACAGACGCTGCCCTCGGCAGCAGACCATATAAACTTTTCACTTGCTCCACAGACAGCTTGTCAGAACCTATGGGAGCTTCAGGTGGCAGCTGTAGCGGCGCCTTATTGCGGCAGCGGCACCCGAATTCAGCACCGTAGCACTCAGGATGGTGGCCTAACATCTGCGAGGGTAAACTCTGGTGACCTTCCATGGGAGGTAGCAGAAGAGGCTGGCTGCTTGTACAGTAACAACGTTTGTCGACTTTGAAACATTTTGGGTGATGGCCAATCACTGCAGTGTCCATTGTGATGTATGATAATAGTGCAGCAGAGCCGTACAGAGTCCGAACGTACGCCTCTCTGCCCAACTCACCACTGGTGACTGGTGTAGCGTGCTGGCTGGGAAAGGATGTGTGTTCAGAGGAGTATTCGTTTGTCAGTTGATACGTCAGACAAAGCTACGTTTATCAACACAAACGTATATGGAACTCCGGGCTGCCCGGGTAAGCACGTGACGCATATTGAGTCGATATGCGTGTATTAATTTAGTATTAATCCCATGCATTGAGCGCAGTGGATCTCACGTTATAGGTTGTTTGTAGTTTGTATTGCTTAAATGCCCCTCCCCCCAGACCATAAATTTATGGCTCGGGACCATTCAAGCTTTCTTTCATATTTGTCAGCTCAGCGCGGCCTTAGAATGCACCAAGTTTGGATGAATAAAGTGTACCCACATATTGCACCATGAGAGTTGCTGGGATTAGCTAGTCATGGAGTCAATAAGCTCCAGGACCAAAATGGTGAATTAAAACCTACCCGAGACCTTAATTCAAATTACATGAAGGCAATAAACGTACGAGAACGTAAGCATTGTCTGAAATACAACTATTATCGGTGTATGCAAGTGGAACGAACTACAGAGTATATAGTCGAGGCTGCCTCCATCCATCGTTTCAAAATCATGTACAAGAAATAAAAGTTCGAAAGGCTGGGCTCAAGAGCTGAAGTTCATTAATGCAACCTGTGATATGTAAGTACTGCTAGGTAATTAACTTGATTTTGTGTAATATACCATCGCTGATTCAAGGCAACAATAACTATATAATGAATGAGGAAAAAATGAGCAGGATATACCTGTATATATTAACGTCATATGTTTTACTTATATTTGTTCAATATATCAATCTGTATACAACACCTTGTTGTAGACCCTGTTGATAAAAGTACTTTAAAAGTAGCTTGATATCGTCCCAGAATGTAAGAAAAAAATTAAAATCCAGCTTCATTCGCCCTGCAAATTTCCCATTCTCTTCCACTATTGCCATGTAAACTAGAGAAAACTACCCCATACATGTCAGCCAAAATGCTTATAAGAACCTCTTGGTGATTCCGGCTCCCCTCGCTCTCTCTCTCTCTTTCTGTCGTTCATTTAATGTGAAGGTAAAGAGTGTGGTGTGAGCTCTCTCTGCCCTGGAGACCAGTTCTGGCTGTGTTATGAATAACACCAGACCTGACGTCATTGCTCCATTCATTCCCCTCCCTCGCACCTTCCAATAATATGTCCTCTAGACTTTTTTCCCCTTCTGTGCAATTTGAACAAGCATGAAAGCGTTATCTATCTAAAATATTGCGTTTGTAAAAATAATGTATGTGCGTTAAAACTGCTTATTGGTGAAAACGTTATAGTAAATCAAGTATGGCGATATTGTTTACCGGTCTTTAGAAGACCTCAGTTTTCCCCTGTGTGGGTTGAGGGCATTAACACAAAATTCTTTATACAGTTATAATATAACTTAGTGGCCGTATCTCTGGTTTAGTACAAAGGTATCCTGTTACAACGAATGATCTGAATCCCCCGAGCCAAGGTAAGCGAGCCTCGACCCCGTGTTCCCCCGCGGCTGATAGAGTGAACCAGAATACCAGCGTAAATTAGAGCAGTCTTCAAGGCCAGGTGAATGGAAACATGAACTGGTTCTCGGGAACTTGAGGAAACTGATTAAGAACTCTGGGTATACTGTGCTGGTGGATTACACAGCTCATCCCACCCTCCTCACGGGGATATTTTCCCCTGATTATACGTGAGTGTTATATGTGTCTTCAGGTCAGGGGTGATGGAGGAGCTCCTAGCCTCCTGCTCTGTGCATCAGGTCTGTACCCACAGTACAGCAAAGCAGCTCATTTAAACTACACTATTTGAACAAGTCAATTATATTGGTGGTGCTTGGGTGGTGTTAATGGAATATGTGTATTGAGCTTTCTGGTAAGTGAGAGCCATTGGTGATGGATAACAACCTGGATCTCTGAGATTGAAGAAATAAATACACAATAATTTTCATTAGATTTTAAGAGTTTTGCAAAACCAGTCGTACATACACAACATTGTTTATATCTTGTTATATTCGGTATGTTTTGTGTCATGTGACAACCAACCCAAATTAGAAAGGAATAAAAAGTCGATTAACACTAAGCATGTGGCTGTCATCAAGATTGTCATCTCGAATATGCAAAAAAAAAAAAAAAAAAGATTGCTAATGTGTGCAAAAAAAATGGGAAAAGGCAAAATAATTAAGTTTCTGGCTTCATGTACAGTAGGAGGAAGTTGATTGGGGGGGATCACTGTTAGGCCACATGCTAGGGTGCTGATACCTCAAGTTTTCAACTTAGAAGATTTTTTTTTGTCTTTCTTGTTTGACTTATTATTTTACAAACTGCGGTGTTTGTGTTGAACAATTCGATTTATGTACAAATGGACACAAACAATTGACTGCATAATGTATATAAACCTGTAATATAATATGTACACCTAAATTACATATAACCCTGTTCCTGGCACAACTTAAAGGAAGTGTTCGGTGGTTCTGTGTGAGAATGACATCCAGAAATCTGTTCAAACACTATTGGGATAGGTAAAATCATATTTGATCATAACAGCAGATTTCTAATACAGTACTGTACACGATAACCTGTTTTGTAACTGCTAAAAGTAAGCGGTTATAAAAGATAGCAAAATTTTGTAATGGGGGTCTTAGTTTACTTCATCAGTATAGATACCTGTATGTTATAGCCATATTTTTGTTTTATTTATATATACAAGAGTTGTTACATTCTTGTGCAGCCACTAGTATGTGTAGCGTTTTAGGCAAGTCCTTAATCCTTTGTTCCCTGGAATACGATCTGGCCAAATTGTTTAACAACCAGGTACCCATTTTTACTGTTGTGTTAAACAGAAGCTACAGTTAAGGACTGATGCCCAGTAAATCCTCCCCGGCCAGGATACGAACCCAGGACTAAGCGCTCATGAAATGCCAGGCGAGTTTCTTAACAACTACACCATGGGGACTGCATATATATTAACATCATAGGTATAAAAACTAATCAATAATAACGAAAATCAGCAAGCAACGATGGCTGCAGTGGCCTCGGAGATGAACAAATGATGATCACCGCATTTGCGGGTTAACAGAATCACGGGCTATTGGTAGACACCTCAGAAAGTGCTGTGGCGCAACAATCATACTGCACATGCTATTCAGCACAGGAAGTGGCTAGTATGTACTGAATTCTTGTAATATGCACAGGTGACCTGTGACTTCAGATTTGTAAGCAGTTGTTTGTGTTTGTAAGCATATTTTAAAAGAAAGTGAACTACTTGCAATGTATAATCACATACCCGTACAGTACTATTAACTAAAAATATATGCTCTTGATTCCATCGCAGTTAGTATTGCTAAATTACATATAAGTAAAGAGTGTCTATATTCCATGGTTAAAAAAAATATAAACAAAAACATGAAAATACAGTACTGTATTCTTCTGCCTTGTGTTTCAATCTTGAATTCTCTCTCAATACAAAGCCTGTTTTATTTTTTTAACGCCTATCATTAAGTGTCGTGCACGTACAATAGAGATAATACTGTATAAGACAATCGACTTGTATACTGACAATCGACTTGACAATGGTCCAGGACGGACCGAAACGTCGTCGTCCCTTCAATTTCTAGTGTGTGGTCTGGTCAACATACTGTATAAGAATTTAGTTAATTAATTCCTAGTACTGTAGTACTCTTAATAAGCTGTTCTGCAAAAGAACCATGATTTCTGGAGTGCTAAACTCTCACAAACATGAACATCTACGTGTGAAGACAAGTTAGCGGCAATAATATAAGCAGTGTAATGGCTATCAATCAGCTACTTACAGATTGCACCAATTTATGGAAGATAAGTACAGTACAGGTACTGTATTGATTCTTTAGAATTTTTGCCCTTCTTTATGGTTGAATATTTTATATGACAATTACAGGCCTAGAAATCTAAAAAACTGCATGAAATCAGATAAAAGAATAAAATCTGCCACATGCTAGTACTGTACTCTATTTCATTGTTTACTGTATACTGTATCACATTAAAATGTCATATCTTGGGGTGAGACATCCCAGTTTGTCTCATGTTGTAGATAATGCCCACTTTTTCTGTAATACAATATTTTTATTTTAGTTTATGCCCACTTTCCTTGCAGTAATTAGATAGTTTTGCAAATAATACCCAATTTGACTAGTATTAAGTTGCCTGTCTTCAGGCAGTCAGCAAGACAAAACTTAGTCGCCTAAAGCAGGGCTTAAACTAAAAATAAAAATTCTGAGCCTCTTCAAATATTTTTTTACATTTACAAATATGGTAGATTTTTACAAATAAACAATATAGTTAAATAATTTTAACCCGTCATGTCAGGAAAAGCTATCAGTCCTAAATTCTCATTAAGCTGATTAGCATTTGAGGAATTTAAGCAAGACCTGATGTGTGTAGACTGGCACACATTTAAACACAGATGATGGACAGCTCCTGTTTACTATATTATTATTTGACCTAGGATTAATGATTTATTTAAAATATTATGGTTCTGAGTGTTGAGTAGGCCATATTTAAAGATGTCATAATATTCATCTCACCTATAGTATATTTATGTGGTCTTGCATCAGACTAAAACTGGATTATAATGTACCGTAGATGAATACTACAACCAATTAGTCTCTCGGTAGTGCAGTCAGGTTTGTAGACTCACAACTGGGAAAACTTGGTTCGAATCCTGGGCAGGAAAGAGATGCTTGGGCATGTTACCTATCACTATGCTGCTGTTCACCTAGCAGCAAATAGGTAACCAGGAGTTAGTCAACTACTGTCTTGTAGGGTTGCATCCTAAGAAGAGTCGGTAGTTCAACCTTGGAGAAGCCTCAATATAAGCCTAATGTATAAACATTCACAAGTTGAATGTCCCTGACAAAAATGAGTGATTAAAAAATTTGTGATAAAATGTAAGTAGTGTATAATTAAAATATGATTCGCGTATTTATACAGGCGAAGGTTTAACAAGAGATTTAAACATCTGGCCAATTTATTTTTAACCAAGCCAAACCTTTGACTGCCATTATATTTTGATTAATGTCTCAATAG